TCAAATGTTTCCACTGTAAGCTTTGGCGGCGTGTTTCAGGTTCGTAGTGGTGGCACCATGATTCATCTCCTGTCACAATTGCAGACAAGAAGTCGTCACCCTCATTGTGATACCAGATGAGATGAGTCAAAGCAGCGCCGAACCTCTCCGTCTTCTGGCGGTCGTTCAAAATCTTGGGCATCCATTGAGCACACAAAAGCCGATAACCGAGATGATCATGAATTATGGTGTGAAACCGAAACCGTGACTGATGTTGACACGCTCTGCCAGTTCATCGATGCTTATCCTCCGTTCTTGTCTAATCAGCTCATCAACCTGTGCAATTGTGTCGGGGGTGATTGCAAGGTGGCTTTGGCCCGGTCCTTGGATCGTCTTTGCAACTTTCACGTCCTTCTCTGAACCGTTTGCTCCAACGCTTCACAGTGGCCAATGCGATGCAATGTTCACCATACACAGCAGTCATACGGCGACTAATTTCATGTTGGGAAACACCTTCAGCTGTCAAAAACCTGACCACACCACCCTGTTCCTCTTTTGGAGCGTCCATTATGTCATGCTACCGTCTTCAACCCAGTGTAAGAGCGCCTTAAAGAATTTTAACCTCACACTTTCGTAAATGAAGGCTGTCTCTGTGCTACGCGCATGCGCCGCAGATGATGGACCGAACCATTCTTGCTGAGGAGGGGTTGGCTCACTTTCATTTGACTCGCCCTTATAGAAATAGAAACAAATTATAACCCATGAACCCATTCAAAAGATAACCATACACGTCAGTGAATTGCCAAAAATATTCCTCCAAAATGCTAATTCACATTTAAAATGGCAATTGTAAAAACAGAGAGAAATTTCAGATGATTAAAATTAAATACCTTCTACTGATTTTGACCAGTTATTAAGCATAATTAAGGATTTTAAGGACCAAAAATCGATTAAAAAAATTGAAGGACTCTTAAGGACCGTACGAAACCTGTATTCACAGTCTTCTTCATTCTCTGACATTCTATGCCATCCATCAGTACAAATCCATCAGTGCCTTTAAAGGTCTCTAGCTTTTTGTCAATTGTGATATCAGATCCAACACAGCAGCAATCTCAGCAGTTGTTTGCAAACTTTTCAAAGAAATCACAAATATGTGCTTAAATGTTCAACTGCTCTTATTTGTAGTCTATTTTCCTTATCCTCAAAACTCAGAGTTTATATTAAGAATCAACCTAAAGAGGGACATAGTCAAATGGAAAATTTCTATGCCAAGCCCATCTTTATCCTGCAGATTTTTAAGATTGATTCTTCCATCTTTTTAGTGTCTTGTCAAATATAAAAGGCCTATTAAGGCATATATTTCAGTACTATCAGTATGGTGTGCAAACTTAGGCTGTGAATAATTTGGACTTATGTTGTCAATATGCTGATTTATATATCTAATAATCATAGTTATTATGCCATCATCAATGAGACACTTCCTAGTATCCAAAACTAGCAATCTTTCCTATCACACCTAGAAGCCACTTGCTTAAATTATGCTTGGAAGTTCTTTTCTGTTGATGTAAGGAGTTTTTTCCAAGTAAATGACTCTATAAACTTTTTCCTCAGCTTTCGGTGACCAAACGTAGAAATCCGCCCTCTTCTTCTTCATCAGAACTAACATCTGTGTAGCTCTGCTCTATTTCTGTGTTTTCCTCTCGATCTTCATTTCCCTCTTAAGCATCAGTGTTACATTATCCCTCTTTTAAATCATAAAATGAAGCTGCAGGTTGAATTTCGTCATCACCTATGCCATCAAATAAAATCTGGTGGATTCTTATGCCATCAAATAAAATCTGGTGGATTCTTGCTATATCATCTGGATTATTCAAGTTTAAAAATTGTTTTCGTTATGTCATTTTGCATCTGTAGTGGCAAAATATAAGTGTGTATTCTACACAAGTATGGCTATATACAAGTAATATCCAGTGAAATTAATAAATAATGAAACAAATTGAAGGACAAGAATAAAAAACCCACATAATTGCTAACCTTGTATATCTGAGATACATATGCCAGTATTTTTGAAGAGAACATAATTTCTGGCAAAATGGTAAAATTAATGATGGACTAGATTATCTAAATGCTAAATAATTGCAAAAAATACAATTAAACACAAAAATATAGATGATCACAAATACTTACAAATTTGCTCTCGTCATATGCGAGAGATACACGAGCCACTACAGAAGATGACCTTCACTTCACAAGGATCAGCACTACACTGATGTTTGACTTGCTGCAGGTTAGAAAGGTAGAGGGGAGGATGGACCCATCACCTTATGGCTTCGCTTGCAGTTAGAAATAAAAGTCAGCGTGTATCTCACAGATATAAGGATAGCATTCGAGTGTTAAAGTATTCAACTGTGCTTAATTTATAATTAACTCATTATGCATTTCTGTTTTAGGAAAACTAAAAGTTCAATTTTAATGGGTACACTACTATAACTTTTAATTCTGATTGCAAAAGATTGCTGTGGCTAAAATTCTGCTTTTAGCAGTATAGAGATTTGAAATTTCCTTCCTTTCATATTTTTGTATGTTTTTTAGCATTTCAGTCAGTACGCATTTGTAATTTATCATTTCCAGATTTTCTTTTATCTAGCTTGTACTGAAAATTTAAAAGACCTTTTCTTCTATTTTGCAAATCATAAGTATTAAAATATTTTAATCAAGAATATTTTGATCGTATATAAAGACAGATTAAAAGAACAGAGAAAATTGTATCAAAAGGACTATTTTCATTACTCTTATTATCGTACGACGTTTTATAATTTTGACAGTTTAACTTTTTACTTTATAGTAAAGTGACCACACGTCCCAATTTTGGCGGGAGAGTCCCCCTTTTTGGAGGATTGTCCTGCCGATATTTAAACATGTCCCGCTTTTTAGAAAACATCTGCATTTCTTATTTTAAATGTACTGTAAAAATATATTACTTATTTTTTATTAATTTTTATAGTAATTATAAAGAAATAAAAAAACACATAAAATGCATGCAGAGTAAACTAAACAAGGAGATGTGTGTGTGTGGTGTTCGATCATTGTCGTTACGTCTTGTCAAGGAATATGTATTGTCAGGGGAGGAACAGCTAGCATTAGCTGAAGGGCTACTTGCTTTCTACACCATAAACCGCAAAGTTTCAGATCAATTGATTGCACGTCGCAAATGATCAAAACATTGTACGACAAAAAATTTGCATGTGCAAGGACAAAAACCGAAGCAATTATTTATAATGTTTTTTCACCATATTCATTTGCACAATTGCAGAAAGAATTAGATAAATGCACATTTATATCCATATATTATGATGCTTCCAACCACAAAGATTTAAAATCATTTCCCAGAATTGTTTGACTTTTGATCCAAAAACGGGAATTAAAATTAGAATATTATATTTTGTTTCATTGCTGGCTGGGTGAAACTTCAGAAATAATTTTTGATTCAATAAGTACTCTTTTTAAAAAAAAATAATTTGAACAATAAAATTATTGCCTATTGTGAGGATAACACTTAACTAACTAAATTTTGTTGGAAAAGCTAGAAGAGGCATCAATAATGTTTTTACGAAACTTAACGAACGTTTTAACCAAAAAATTGTTCGAGTAGGTTGTGCAGTGCACATTCTACACAATACTATTCAAACAGCATCTGACTTACTTCCAGTGGATGTTGAAAATATTATTGCAAAAATTTATTTGCATTATATATATATATATATACTGTATATGTTGAAAGTTTGAAGGATTTTTGTGAAAGCACACGAAATCGTATATGAAAGAATTATTGATTACGGCAAAACACACGTGGTTAGCTCTTTTACCAACTGTAGAAAATATTTTCAAAATATACGAACCATTAAAATCATACTTTTTATTCACAAGATAAATGTTCCAAGAATATTGCAGCTGTTTTTTGAAAATAAGACATCACAAATTTATCTTCAGTTCATTCCACAAAAAAGCTACATTATTTCACAATGCTGTGAAAATTATTGAAGGGACAAAATTTCAATTACGGATGTGTCAAATGAAATCAATAATTTAGAACACAAAATTGCGAGAAGGAATTGATAACAATTACGTTTCTTTAGTTATTTGAAAGGACATCACTAGGTTGGAAGAACAAGGTGCCATTTTAAACGACCTGATTTTCTGAAAGAAGTCAGGAATTTTTATAATAGTTGCTTGGAATATCTTGAAGAACGGACAGTTCAATTTGAGGAAATAAAAAAAATTTCATTGGGTGACATTAAAAAAGGAGATTTTATGCCAATTTGTGGAAAAATTTTTTAAATATATTAGTAACCATTTTCCGAAAAATAATATTTGCGAAAATGATATTTTTGATGAGGTGTCATTCCATTGGTAAAAAGATACATTGTTACTGATGAAAAAATTAAATGTTGATTGTCTGCAAATGTGGAAGCAGACAAAAAATGGACGGAGTTATTCCTTCATTTTAAATAGAATAATATTCCTTATGAAAATCTTTTGAAAATTGTAGAACATGTGCTCTCCCTTCCAAGAACAAATGCAGTAACAGAACGTGTTTTTTCTAGTATCACTAAAATATAAAATATGGACAATTGAAAAAACACGGTTGAACATTAAAACTTTAAAATCTGTATTAAGCCTAAAATATAATTTGACCAATTCATGTGAAAAATTTCACATTTTATTAAATAGTCCGAATCTATTGCAAAGTATTCACTCGGATAAAAAATTTGACCGTGAAAGAAAATCATAACTTTTTAATAAAATATTAAATTAATATATATTCAAATTATTGTTTTTTAGAAATGTTTTTATAGTTACTAATAAATATATTTTGTATATTTATAGACAAGTGTATGAATGTTTATAATAAAATATATTTTTTGAATTATTGGTCTGCTTTTATAACTAAATTATAATTCTCATTTCATTCTATTTGTCCCACTTTGTCTCAATGAAAATATGGGCACTTTACTTTATAGGAACCTGATTCAAACAGTCAGAAAAATGAAGCTACTGCTGAAGACTCAAGTATGCAAGAAAATGGCCATGTTGAAAAAATGGAAACTGATGATGAAAAACAAGCTGCTGCAGAGGCAGTTAAAGTTTGAAAATGTTCTTTGAAGATTATTAGTTGCAAACATTCATTGTAGACATCACTCTCATATTATCTGTATATCTTATTTGAAAGGGATGAAAAACTTGTCATTAAAAACTAGTAATTGTATTTAGTGTTTTTTTTATTCAAGTCATATTTACATATATAAATATTATACACATATTAAAGTTTTCTTGTCTACATGTTTGAGAACCCATGGATTTATGCACTTTATATTTAACCATTGTTGGTAAGTGCACATTATGAAAATGTAAATGTATAGATTTTTGAATGTTTTATTTGCTTATACATTAAATATTACATATATGGAAATTCCAAAATGTTCATATAAAAATTATTCTTCATTGTCAAGAACATGATTTTCTTGTGGAAAACTGGTTCAAAATCACTCTCGTCACTTGAAAATGCTACCTCACACTCGTTCAATGGTGATGCAATGCAGTCAGTGATCACGGTTGCCACGCTTCCTGGAAAAAGTCGGGGAATTTGAAAGTTGACCAAAAAAGACGGGAAGAGTCAGAAAATTTAAATATTTTAGTCGGAAAATTTCATATGGCTATCCCCAAAAATGCAAGTTTTGTGCCAACCTTAAAAGCGATCACTTTCTTGGCAAATTATGTATTGCATGAGCATCACTCGGGCAGCTGGTATACAGCAAATTTTTGCACCTTCAATCAAATTGTCTTTTAGAATGGCAAAGCAAGTTTCCAGTGACTTCGGTTTCCAGTAACCTCGGGAATCAAGAGGCTCGCATGTGCAGTGCATGTTGAACGAAAGAAAATACCTTCCTGTTCATGTATAAAACAAAATTGGTTTAATCCTACTATACGGTATACACCAGATTTGCCGACATTATGAGGAGCGGTAAACGGGTCATTTTGGTGTTGGCGACAATTTTGAAAATTGTGCTTGGCCGTAGTGTATACTAAGATTTTACTGCAAAATCTTTTCAATTGTTTTCTTTTTAATAAATGCCTTATTTGTTATTTTGCAGTAAAATAATAAAAAAATAGTAATCAGTCATCTAGACTAACCGATATATTTGCTAAAATATCTTGATTATTGTAATTTAACTTTTAAGTAATTAACTTTATTTTAATGTTATTCGTACCATTTAATGTGGCTTCTTTCCTCTAAATTTATTTATTATTAGTTAATAATACTTTCAAATTTCAGGGAATTTTCTGTTTAATTTATAATATCAGTGTCATTTACAGGTTCATAATTTTTTTTTCTTCATAGTATGCATTTTGATAGTCCAAGAGAATAAGTAATAAACTCATTCATAAAGAATAAGTTGTATTATAAAATAAGATGTCAGTGTTGAAATCTAACCTTTTGTTGGTAACTGTAATGATCTGATCTGTAACATTAACAGGCTTTTGTTTATATGAATTATTAATGTTTTCTTCCGAAAAAAACTTAAACTTTGTGACAGTATGCAAGCTATATCATGACACCAAATGGCAATTCACACTGTAGTAAAGCTTTGTGTGTTTTTGCTCTATGTAAATTTTTTTGGTAACCTTGCAGGCTGAAGTCTTGAAAATAGTATTTTGTCTGCTGTGATGTCTAACCATTTGATATAAAGCATAATACCAAATTTAGGTCTTGAAAAGGACCATTCAGAAATACCCATTAAAATGTATCTGTCACTGGAAAACAAGAAAAGCTGCACAGACAGTAGGTGCCAGTTCTTTGGCAGAAACATAGTAAAACCTGTTGATTTTTCTACTATCAATAGATTTATTAAACTCAGCACCAGTGTATATCTGCAGAATGTCTTTGAAAACTGGCAAGAAGAAGCCCTAGGGTTTCTAATTAAAAACTAAGGCTCTTCATAAACTTCTTAGAGCTGTAGATATAGAAAATTTTTATCTCAGAACTTGCCATGATTATTCAAAAACATCTGCATCGTATGGGACTGGTAACTCAACAGTGTGCCTGTTCTGTGGTCTGGCTGACATGGCTAGCAATCACCCATGCAATTGCCTTAACTTTAATGATGTTGCAGAAATTAATATTTTTGTTTTATGGAGCTAACCGAATAGTTGAAATATAAGGTCCTGTTTAGGTCATAACATTTAAAAAAAAAATGCTTTCAGTTTTATTTTTGTTAGCAGATGACACATTAATTTTGTCAGGTTTTCAAATACTTTTTGTATTATTTTATCTGTTATTAATTTGCTCAAAGCAAGAATTATAATTAGACACGGTATGCTGCAGAGCATTGGCCACTTTAATGACTGAATTGAGAATTCTGTTTAGAACAGTAAAACCTGAGCTTTCTAGTTGCAATTCATGATAAAGCTCCAGGACACAGTGCTGAAGCATCCTCACATCATTGCATCCAAATGCAGAAATTTTATTCCTTTCAGTGAACACCACTTTAAATCCAACCAATAGATCAAGGAATTATTAAAAATATTCAGAGCCTATTATAGTCGGACATGTTTATATCTTTGCAAGTAAAACCCTAAATGAAGGAAAGCACATGATGATAATGGCATTTTGGAAGCAATACAATGCACTGCATGGGAACATACTAATTCAACAATGAATGCTTGCTGGCATCAGCACTGGCCAGTATAAAAAGATTTCTGTCGATGAAAATAAAGCCCACTGAATTGTAAATATTGCAAAAAGAACAGGCCATGAAGGATTTTCTGATATAGAAAAAGAAATCAAGAATGAGGATTGTGAAATGGTAAATGAAGAACTGGATGATAAAGAGCACCAGCAGACGATAAACAGCCTGTAACTTTATCATGAAGAAGAATCTTTTAATGCACCAAAAGTTAAATATTAAAAAATCTGATGTGTACACCACATGACTTCCTTGTACGGAATATTAAATTATACGCATTTTTTCTTGCATTTCGTTTAAACTTATTGGATTGAATTAAACCTACTTCGCAGACAGCGCATAAACCACAATAGAATAAATGCATTCTTTAAAATTCACTCTATTTGTTTACCATAGCGATACTCTGGCGCTAGGTTCACTTAACAGTATTATATTTCGTTCATATTATAACTCGGAATGCACAAAATTTATATCATTTAAAGAATTATCTAATCGTTACCACATGTTCTATTCAAATACTATAACATAGCTAGAACGATGTACAAGAGAAATTAAGCAAACAAAACAAAAAAGAAGCAGTTTTTCACAGACGATTGAGTACTTCTCGTTCAATTAATTCAGTTCTCACTTCGCGACAAGGCAAAAATACGTAAAAAGTCAAAATATCTGTATTAAAAATTACGAAGTAAATCTTAAACACTTATTTCCTCGAAAAAATTCCAGAAAGGATTAAGCATGATTTAATTCGCAATAATAAATGAAGGCGTTATCTTTGTTGTTGCAAAGCTACGTTTCTCTAGATTGGCAACAAATTCACTACTCTGCTGTTTCAAATGTAAACAAGCAATGGCCGCCATCAAAAAAGTTATTAGGCTTAGTGGCACTTAAACAACTTTAAAATTGTTGATAATTCAAAAAATATTGCATACAGCAGGGATTTTTGTGCTCCGGGGAAACCCCGGAATTCCGGGGATTTTGAATTTCGTTACCCGGAAATTCCTAGGATCGTCGTTCATAAGGAAGTAGGAATAATAATGAATGATTTATTTTGATCTGGGTAATTTTGTTTGCTTTGAAAGTAGAAAACGCAAGGTCAGTGTGTGTCGTGAAAACTTTTCCTTTCTTTCTCCAAAGGCAGGCAGTGATAATGCGTGAAAAGGGGGAAAAACTTCTTTTTTTCTTTCCTTATTGCGAGTTATGCTAATTCCCCGGTTCTCGGACGTTCTCTTCTGGATTCTTTTCGGCAAATCGGCGCGGCAGAAAAAAAAGGGAGAGACTTCGTTCGACCAGATGTGCGATCACGTGACTCTAGGTTCAAAGGTCTTATCTCTCCTGGCGTGGCGCCAATAAGTAGAGAAGGGAGATTTTTCACCGTATTAGCTATTTGTCATTGATCGCTTCTCAGCTTTTTTTTTCTCCGCTGTGTAAAATTTTCGTTTCATTTATTGATGCACGTGTAAATTTTTCGTTTCGTTTATTGAAATATTTTTTTATTTATGTACGCAAGAAGAATTTCACTATGAAATTTCTCGATATAAATAGTGATATTATACAATTAGAAGAAGGTGTCCGGAATGCATTTAGGTGGAATTGGATTGAGCGGAGAGATTGTAATGGGGATACCATCAGCACATGGTGAAAGAAAATAAATGCTGCTGGACAAGCATATTGTGTTTTTTGTAATTCACTGCTGAAGTATGGTGGGGAAGGATTCAAGGCTTTCACAAATCATTCTAAAACTGTGACGCACATAAAATATTCAAGTGCATTAGACATTCAATGACTTTAAGTAATTATGCTAATTCAAAAATACTGATGACTTGCTGGAGACTGAGATGCTCGGCCATTGGATATAGTGACAAAGAAAAGCACGCCAAGAGGTATTAATAACTTCGTTTATCGCCGAGAATTCTGTTTCTTTCAATGTAGCTCCCAATTTAATTGAACTCTGCAAACAGTTGAGCCGCGATCAGACGGCACTAAACTCGTTGGAAATGTCCAGGACTACTGCATGTTATAAGATGAAATATGGGCTCGCAAAAAATTAAGGAAAATATTAAAACTTTAAAGGAGACTCCATTTTCTCTAAATTTGATGAAAAGTACTAGCAATGCTCAAGAAAGTATACTGGCAATATTGGTGCAGTTTTTATGACAACAATCAAAATGAAGTTGTAGTTCATCATTTTGCATCTCTAAAGATGGAATCTGTAATTCAGAAGCTGTTTTTAAAGCAGTTGTTAATACTATTGAAGATAATAATATTCCATGGGCAAACTTAATTAGTGTATTATGTAACACCATGCGTGGAAAAAAAAAGGGTGTTGAAACCAGACTACGATCAAACAAAACACCCCACTTATTAGATATTGATGGTGACACATGTCACACAGCTATTAACTGTGCAAAAAAAATTT